TTAGAGGCCACAACACAAACCTTGTGCTCAGTAACTATATTTCAATTGAAGCCTTTTATTTCTTCTTTTGCTGCTTTTCCAGTCTTCAGCAAAAAATGTCCTAGATTTTAACGAACTATAGAAGAAAACTTGGATCAATTGCTTTGGATATTTGTTGTTCCAAATCCATATTTAGAATCTCATCACTTTCTTCATCTCCAATACTCATTTCATCATCAACCACTGAGAAAATTGAAGTACATATTGGCATACTGTTTTAATAAAAGGGTGGCCATCAAATGTGTACAGTGTAATAAAAAAAGGCATGTTAATGAGAACAAGTACAAGAAGTATATTTGGCGTACTTCCTTTACTTCCCATGCTTGATTTTCTGAGAGATTGGAGAGCTTCCAACAAAAATGCAGCAACAGTTGCAAAATCAATAGCCTGGGGAGTTCAACAAATTAAAGGGGACTATTTAAAAAAAAAAAAAAACTGAATAATATGAAAATATGAAAACAGTTTGATTGATTGTGAAGTTGAAGAAAAAATTCAGTTGAGCTAACTATATGGTAGAAACTAATAAATGTTATGGCTAGATTTCAAACTTTGTAGAAAAGACATCACATTCAAGTCTTGATTTACATTTTTAATTATATTTGATTGGATAATGGGGCATAATGTACTATTGTTTAACAAAGTGTGCCAAACATCTTAAATTGAGATGAAGGCTTTGAAGCGTTGAGTTGAGGTGTGTCAAACATACTGCTACTAAGAATGTTTAACAAACAGAATGGAATTACAGAACTTGACAGAGGGAATGCACTAAACTAAAGAATTAGCATCATGTATCATCAGAAAGTGAATGAACATTAAGCGAAAATGGAAATCATATCCAGGTAGATGTGAAAAGCATAGCTAACCATATCAAATGAGTCTGGCTGGGTAAAAGCAAGGCTACCAACATCCAATAGCCTGATGGATAATTATCTTTGACACATAATGCCATCTGAACAAAGAAGATAAAACTTCATACAGATAAAAGAACTTAATATAAATAATCTTTACGTAAAAATCACTTAGCATCATCAGGTTAAAACAAAAAAAAAATGATTTGTAACTTTGTGTATTTTGAAAATAATAGCAAAATAAAAATGGCATTCTGTATACTCCAAATTCAAAACACATGCAGCATCTAGCTAAAATTTATGGCATGACATTTTTGCATCGTGACCACTGTTCGAATTTTCTTATATTACTCCTAACTAACCACACAATAATAGGTAGATGAAAATGCAAAAAAAAAAAAAAAAAAAAAAAAAAAAAACTATTCTCCACAATATAGATAGATAGATAAAACAACTTCACAAGAAAGCATTATAGTTTTATTCAATACATATGTAATGTTTTACAAACGATCACATCAAATGTGCAATAGACTAAACACGCTGAATTTTGCTTAAAATTCAGGTGTCACTCTAATGTCCATATTAACTCTTCTTGTTAAACTTAATCTAAAGCAAAGTTTTCTCACATAATAACTAATAAATTGCAGAGTCCAGATCATATAGTTTATTCACGGTTGAAAACACATAACAACAAAGAAAGAAAGTACTGCAACAACCTCATTCATGGTAATCAAGTTTTGATATACTAATAATAATAATTATCTACTGTACTATAAATATTGGATCCATAGCAGTAGTTCTGTTACATTTAAATAGACTGCAGAGTTTTAGTTATGCTCAAAATAGTGACAGTGTGGAGAAATAATAGTTTAAGAAATAACCTAGTAGGATAAATTGTTTGGCCGACAGGCTTCAGTCAGAATTTCTTCATAAACAATGTTATCGGTGACATTTGTAGAACTTGTATCCGATGATTATTGCAAATTAACATCTTTACACAATTTGCTTTTTTTTGTTCTTGATAAGGCTACATATAATTGACCGTGAGAAAATACTGGTTGTCTCAAATAAATCCCTACAAAATCAAATGTTTGCCCCGGTGCCTTATTTATTGTCATTGCAAAACACACTTTGATTGGGAACTGGTGGCGTTTAAATGGGATTGAGCATTTTTCATCCTTTGAGGCTTCAAGTGGGATCCTTGGTATGAAAACATGTTTACCGAAGTGTTCCCCAGAAGCAATGACACAATGTATAACATGATCATGAAAGTCATCGCATATTAACCGTGTACCATTACATAGTCCTTCTGTAGGATTAATATTCCTCAGCAACATTACAGGGCAATTCTTTTTTAGGATCAACTTGTGAGGAGGTAGACCAGGTACCGAGATAGTATGCAAGAAGTCAGCAAAATATGGGGGGAAGTAGAATCAAGCAACTCATCATAACTGACATAATATTTTTCCTCTCCAGGAAATCTAGCAATTAAGGTGTTGTTAATTTCATCCAAGTATTCATTCTTTGGTGTCAATATACCTCTCTTCATGAGTAAATAAGGATCACAACTGAAGTTCATTAAATCTGGGAAAACTATGTCAATTAATGAATTGTAAGATTGTAATTCATTTGTATATGGGACAAGGAATGTTTTTGGAATTTCAATTGAATTGTCAACAACATATTTTTCTGTCCCATTGCCCACGCGCATTAAGTATTCGCAAAAAGATGGATCTTCTTTAGCACGCATGTTTTCTGTCAAAACCAATCTCTCAACCACTGACCAAATTTTCCGTGATTTTACCAAACTTGCTTCTATGAAATCCCTTTTGCTTCCCGATCTTATTATAGGTAACGTTTGGCGAAAACCACCTCCAAAGACTACAACTTTTCCACCAAAGATTTTGTCACAATTTGTGATATCTCTCAAAGTTGTTTCAACATTTTCTATGTCTACAATTTGCCATTGTTGCTTCGTCCCATGTAATCAACTTGCACTCTCTAAGAAGGGCGACTTCGGCACTTTGTTTCCCGATATTGAATACAAATTTATCATCTCCATTAATTGGTATTTTAAATCGAAAATGAGCTGTTCGGCCTCCTGGTAAAAGAGATGCAGCTACACCAGATGTTGCAGTTGCAAGTGCAATGTCATGGTTTGATCTGAGTTTAGCCAAAAGGCACCTGTATAGAAACGTTTTGCCAGTTCCCCCAGGGCCATCAACAAATAATACTCCTCCAGAACTTGAGTAAACCCGCGCAATTATAGTGTCAAATGCTGCTCGTTGACTTTGATTCAACTTCGTAATAGCAAGTAAATCAGCTTCATTAGGCAACAAATTCTTTTCTGCTTGTATTTCTTTGTGTATTCTTTGTTGTTTTGTAAGGCCAATATGATAAGAAACTAAAGCAAAGTCATTGATATTTTTCCCCAAAGATTCAAGTACATCACTTATCATATGCAAACACTTATTTTCAGCATCAATGATATTCACAGATGAGGAAATTAGGTCTTCACAAAGATGTTCCTTGTATTTCATCCACAAACCACGTGGAGATGGAATATCACAAAAGACTAACACGTAGCAAATAACCTTCAAAAACTTGTAGGTATTTGCCAACACATAGCTTGTAGGCATTTGCCAACACATAGCTTCCTACAGACATTGATCTATCACCCGATCACTCTGCAACAGTCCCAATTTCTCTGCCGCTTCTCTAAAAGTTGTAGTCATAGATTCACCAACCATTTTTAAGTGTTCATATGATTTTGGTGCCCTGACATTCATCAACAACATTCTCAAATAATATCTCTCTCCTTCAGTGGGATTAACACTTACCAGCTGACCTACAACTTCTCCTCCTTTCCTTGGATACCAGTATTTATCTTTGTTTGACCAAACAAAGTACTCAGGAAACTCAGCATACAATAAGTTCAATCTCTTAGCTGTTTCATTAGTCATATTCATGAAAAAAATTGTGTTAACATCGTCTTTGAGCTAAGTTGATTATCCACAAGATCACTCAAAGCTTGTTTGCCATCAAACCTCATGTACTGGTAGTTCTCCAAATGAATCTGTAAGTCTACTACGCATGGTTTTATTTCAACAAGGCTAAACCCATATATTCTCCATGCAGCTTCAGGAGGTGATACCCATCTTGCATTTTGGTATTCTTTTATTTCATCAAAGTCAATGATCTCTTCTCCAGAAGATAAATTAAATGTAACTCTATCATGACCTTTATATATATACTTGTATATGTACTTTACACACTTAATAGTTGCACAAACTTCAACATTGATATGACAATCAAAGTTAGATAACAAATATGAGTTATATGGTATCACCCATTTGTTGTCCAATTGGTGGCCACGAACGGTAACAAACCTTGAACTGTCCCTGCGCTTATAAGTAGGATATGAATTATCTCCCAAAACTGTTGCATCAGAAAATCTCTTGGGATATTTACTTTTGCAAAGTGAAACACCGAAATTTTCAACCATACATGGATTTTGAGGATTCAGAGAACCACATGGTCCATGTATCATGTGTTTGGCCACTAAGGAGTGCAAAGAAGGGTTTTGAACTGCGTCAGGTATTTCTGCACTAACAATTGCATCAACATCCCTACCCGAGTAAAATTTGTGGTTTTTCCCTAAGATTAATAAGAAATGAGCATGTGGGAGACCACGCTTTTGGAATTCAATAACATAAGTGTATGCTATCACCACTCCAAAAAGTTTTTTCTTTATGAGGTCAACTTTCAGTTCTTCCAACTTAGCACGAACCACTCTTGAAATCAAATCAGGCCTATTTTGAGATTCATCACAATATTCAAGCGAATTTTTAATCTCAGGCCAATTTGGGTTACACGTCATTGTCAAAAAAATATCTGGCTTACCATATCGTTGAACCAATGTCATAGCATTCATATATCTTTTACGCATATCTCGTGGGCCTTCCAATAAAAGAAACCGGTAAAATTACTCTGCGTCCCACATTTGATGCATTTGTTTCCCCACATGCAATGGTATCCACTAATCCTTGCATACTTTCTGTTCGAACATCACGCTGCTGTGTTCAAAAATAGTCCAATCTCTGTGTCTCAATTTTGATATAGGTGTCAACAATGAATTGTTGAAAGAGTCTTCCTGAATGTAGGAGCATAGATTGATCATTTGGTCGAATTTGAAAACTATAAGCATAATATTCTCTGCATGAAACAGTGTTCTGCTTGCTCTGACTAACAAAGTTTTCGTTCTCTTTGTTTAACAAAGCTTGTATTGAAGAAAACCCCCGATGCTGGAGAATACCTTGACAAACAGAATAATTATTTTGATAAGATTTAGGAACCTTAGATATACCCTCATGCCAACCACTCTCTCCGTAGGGGAACAACAGAGGATATTGCAAGGGATCATAACAACCGTAATTGTATTTCACAGAATGTGATTGGCCAGTTTTTGCAAAAACTCTAATATCATGATTGTTCTGACCACTACCATCTTGTTCATCTACCCAAGTTGCTGCAACTTGAGAAGAGGTAGGCATGTTGTAAACACGTTGATCTAGACTTGCATTTGAACGAATCAGAATATTACAATCATCAAGACTTGATATATCCTTGAGATTTCTGAAGAACTGTGAATACGGATTGCTTCCAAGTACGTCAATAAGGTTTTCAACAACACTTGCATTCATTCGTTCTGCCCCTTTGATTCTATTCTCAACCTCATGGTCAGTATCATAGAAATACAATTGCAAGTTTTTAGGAGGTTGGTCCCCTGGCACCAAATCATTGATAAAATGATACATTTGTCCTTGAACCTTAAATGTATAGATCCCTTTATTCCTCCTAGATAATTGTTTGTCGTAGTTGTGTATGCCTAATGAAGTAAATGCAAATGTGTTGTTATACCTTCTAACACATGCTTGAAAATGACGTGACACTTCATCTTTCTCACAAAACAATTGTTTCAAGAGTGAAGGCATTTCATTAGACACCAAAACAACTTGACCAGATGAGCAACAAAGTCCAGGTGGTTCATATTGGAATCGCCTTGCATTACAATAGGTGCAAGGAGGACAATCTTTAAGAGCAAAAGATTGGTCTGGAATAGAAGAAAGAGTGTCGTTTTGTTGCAAACATTCCTGATTAGAATTATTGAGTACTATTTCTAATTGCATAATCAATTGCATCAATCAAAGGCATGTTAAATAAGTTAGCTCCCTTGTATATACGTTCATGAATTAAACTCATACAGAAGGCATATTTTAAGAATTAAAAAGCATACCAGTATTGACAGCATGAAGTTGCGAAGACTGGGCTTCCCTAAGTTTGGCTCGACGCTTTTCGTTTTTCTCATCTAACATCTTTCGTTTTTTATCAGGATCCATTCTTGAGTATGCATTTTGTCGTTTCAAGTTGCTCTATGCTCGTTGACTCTCTGCATCGCTAGATTCAGCAATTCCAGAATGCCCAGACTCCATAAAGAGAGATGCTAAAAATATGAAAAATTCAAAAAATGGTCATAACTATAAACAGAAAAAACCGACAAAGCAAATTCTCTCATCAGTAAGAAATTTGAGTATAGGACCTGGGATTACTGCCCCGGAATGAAACTTGAGGATCACACAACCTAACCCGAAACACAACATCACTAACACTTCGGAAGGATCACGAGGGTGATGCATAACATCAATGCCAACAACAGGTCGATCAACCCAAACCTTACCTTTTGGAAAAAGAAAATCCTCTGTGCACAAGTATTCAAAATATTTTGCTTTGAAGGTAATACCTTCTACCTTAACCGTTTTGGTTCTCAAATATACAATACCGGCCATATCTAAGAGAATACGAGAAACAATCGTTAGCTTGGCAGGTTATTGATGATGGAGATTCTTAAGAGATCGAGCAGGCAGGCCAATTATACCTAGTACTGCTACGCAAACAGGCATGACCTACTGTTGTCTATGCATCTGAACTTCATCTAAGCTGGAAAGGAGGAAAATTATGGATTTCTCTGCTTTGCAGCATCAAAATGAAGCTTTTAGAGTGGTGTTTTGATTGGTCTCAGTTTTGGATGGGAGATGACATATCATGTTGATTGGTCTCAGTTTTGGATTTCTAGAATTCTGGGAATGAAAGCATATACTCTGGAAAAGGGATGAAGTCTCTGGATCTCTGGGATTGCAGCAAGGAAAAATCAGAAAAGGGAAAGGAGCTACTGTGTAATGGGACTGTCTTGCTGTTGGAGGGTATAGGGGAAGGAGCTAATATTTCTTTCTTCATCAATAACATTAAACAAATGTGCTAAACCAATAAATGTAAGTTCTCTACCTAAAATGTCAAAAGCAAACTATCCCCATGTCATGTCTAAAATCTATAACTGCTGCCTTAATTGACATACAATAAAATCCCTGATAAAAATGTTTAGAATTATATATAGCCACATAATTATCAGATTTGAGCTGTTTATCATCATATTCTGCAGATGCAATCATCACCCATGTCCACAAAAATTACAATAAATAAAATAAAATAAAATAAACAGAAAAAAGTATATAATAGAGTTCTATCTCCCCTCAAACTCAATTTCATGAGAGGAAGGGGGAAATATTAATTGAGACAATGAGATTAGGGAAAACATTATCCATAACCCCATTTTCATGCTACCAAATTTAAAGAGCAATAATTTAATCTAATGGATCTTGCAAATCAATGTCTACAGGTGAATTTGAGGAAATTTTATTTCTTCTCTTCAAGTAGATTACACCAATGAAAGTAATTCAAAAATCATAGGCACAATGTGTATTTGACAGGTAGGATCCAGAAAATGTGAGGAAAATCCCAAAGCCTGGTTTCCAAAGAGTACATAATAATCCATTTAATAAGTCAAAGAAAGATCTATTTTCCAGTAAAATAAGGCTATCATGCAAACTCATATTGAATTCAGAATTCTAGTGAAGATAGGATATTGAAATGGCACACTGATACTACAATGAAATGTTGAAATTGAATGTTTAGTGCCTAAAGTTTGCCACTTGTATTACTGTGTGCCTAAAGTTTGCCACTTGTATTACTATTCCTAAGAAAGATCATGAATAAATAATTTCTACACAAAGATTATAACCTAGCCGCTTGTACTACCTGCTTGATTTTATAAGCCTAAAATCAAAGGAGTTTGCATCCACGACTTTCTTGACACCCTGAAAGCAAAAAAGAAATTTAGGATTAAAATTAAAAAGAAAGAGTCAAGAAGAACATTAAACATAAGATATTAACTAAGATTAATAGTGCAACTCAGTTGTTTCGTCTCGAAGGAGTTTGCTGCCCAAATACAAAGTAATTACAAGCAATATTCTTGTAGAAGTATAAACTGCTCATCCTACCTTTGCATTTTTCTCAAGTGTCCAACAAAGTCTTACTTTGAAAGGGAACACATATATATAAACATAAAGAACAAAGGAGTGAGTGTGGGAGAGAGTTCTTACACTGAGTTCAACGTAACGCGATGATCTGTTTCACTTGCTTGGTTTAGTTTGGCAGATTTATTTTTCACGAACTTAACCCCTAACAAAATTGGGGATTGATTTACAATGCAAATCATCCAGAATGTTAAAAAAAAGCCAAATCAAACCAGAAGGTTACATACCAAAGTCATCGTCAGAGCGAAAAAAAATAATAATAATAATAAATCAAACAAATAAAACAAAAATTGAGTTGAATTGTGATAGCACTCACAATTTCTCGCGCAGCTCCAATGCATATTATATTAAATCCAACGCATATAATGAACTGTTTCACATCAATGAACTGTTTCACGGAATAACTCATTCCAAGTTAACATATATTCTACTCTAGTTAAAATTCTGAACTAACTTCAAGAAGAAATCACTGCATTTTTAACTACTTCCTCTAGCAATGGAGATTCCTTAAGCTTGTTCTAACTCAAGATATACAAAATTGAATAAAAATGGAAAATCCAAGACTGAGTTTAGACCATTATTATGAAGGTTCGTATAATCACTCAATGTGAGGAAAACCCCACAGCCTGGTTTCCAAAGAATGCATAATAATCCATTTAATAAGTCAAAGAAAGATATATTTTCCAGTAAAATAAGGCTATCATGCAAACTCATATTGAATTCAGAATTCTAGTGAAGATAGGATATTGAAATGGCACACTGATACTACAATGAAATGTTTCAATTGAATGTTTAGTGCCTAAAGTTTGCCACTTGTATTACTGTGTGCCTAAAGTTTGCCACTTGTATTACTGTTCCTAAGAAAGATCATAAATAAATAATTTCTACAAAAAGAGTATAACCTAGCCGCTTGTACTACCTGCTTGTATTTATAAGCTTAAAATCAAAGGAGTTTGCATCAGCGACTTTATTGACAGCCTGAAAGCAAAAAAGAAATTTAGGATAAAAATTAAAAAGGAAGATTCAAGAAGAACATAAAACATAAGATATTAACTAAGATTAGAATGCAACTCAGTTGTTCCGCCTCGAAGGAATTTGCTGCCCAAATACAAGGGGAATGATTAGCATTACTCTATACAGTATGAATAATTCAATTATACATATTCCAAGTGAAAAACTATACAATCTTTGTATAGTTATGTTATAGATTGCTTAAAATTACATTCCACCAATAATAGAATAAATTACCGAAAAAACACACTTTAGTTTGATATGTAATCTATACCTAGAAGGTCGTGTATGCAACTGTGCCTTGCTTTGTTAATCTGAATTGGTTCTTTTTACACTATCTTCATTAAACTGAGAGGCAAAAAGAACAATGAATGCTGCCAATGTTGATCTCAATTGGTTCTTTTTACACATACGTTAAATTCCCCAGAATCTATAAACAGTCATCGAAATTACATCATAAATAAAATTTAAAAAAAAAACATCAAATAAAATTAATAATAATAATAATAACAATAAGGTTTGTGAAAACATGATATGAGTCATTGTTAATAACCTAAGAAAGAAGTCTCCAGAGGAAGAGAATCTGTACAGCGACGATTGGAGAAAATACACAGAGGGATTCCTGATATATACATATTTAGGAGATATGAATGAATGCTGAGGGGAAAAAAAGTACAATTTGGGAGCATACCGTCGGAAGAACGTCGCAGCATACCGTCGGGAGAACCTCCTTCTGTTCTCCTCTTTGTTCTCCTCTGTGCTCGAAACATTGAAATTTCTTTGAGGTTTGGTGAGATATATTTAACGAAGGTTTGGTGAGATGTACTTAACGGTGAACTAACAGCAATTCTTAAAATTTTAACGGAATTAGTAACGGTGTGTGGGTATTAAAGAAAATTTTAGTGTAAAATTTTAATTTGACCAATTTTTTAATCAATCTGAGTCATCTGATCAATCTTTTAATCAATCTGAGTCAATCAATCGATTAAAATCTGGGGTGACCGCCATTTTTTCTACCCATTATAGGCCTAACTCTCTTGGGCTCTTATTAGTATATATATTAGTACTAGTATTTGACCCGTGCGCTGCACGGTATGTAAATTAAAAAGTATTTATTGTGTGTATGTTATGTTACAAATTGTGTGAACTAATGCGCTTAAAATTGATAACATATAAATGAAATATGATTGGAAATTCAACAAAAACAATATGAAAATGGTATATTACAAATAGTTGCAAGGTCACGGAACTAAGAAATGAGGACTTTACAAAATTACAGATTATTGAAAACCTCATGATATACAACATTAGTGGTTTTAAGTACCTCCTTGTCTGCTGTATATTGACTAAGGTAACAACTAATAGGTTTTAATTATAGAGATTACCTCCTTGTCTCTGTATATTTCACTGATAGTACGGACTTCCATATCACCAGATAGGGAAACTGAATATGAGCTGCATTCCTTAAAACTTGATTGCGAAATAATACTGCGCATTGGAGTCTGTTCCTGACTGATACAGTGAAATATAAAATTCAATAAGAATTAGGGACTAATTGAATAAGTAGTGCAAGAATAAGCATTGACTAACCTTTTCCTAAAATATAAAATTCAATAAGAATTAGGGACCAATTGAATAAGTAGTGCAAGAATAAGCATTGACTAACCTTTTTCTAAACTCCTCAAATGGTGGAGATTCCTGATTGAACAGCAGTTGTGTTACATCATAGGAGCTACAAATCTTAACATCCCCACCTTTAGAAATTATGTTAGTACACATTAGACAAACCATTATTGGTAAATATGGACAATACTAATATAAGTTAGGCAGAAACTCAAATTTGTTATGTACTTACTTTTTAAACACACCCTAGCCCTACAAAATTGGATCAACACCAATAAGGGCTCTTGTGAAGTAGAATTGTAGAGTGCCTCGATCTTGCCTACGTGTTCATCCCACAAAGTACACATCAATTGTATACCACTGCAAAATGTTAGATAAGAGATTAGAAGAACAGAAACTCTAAAAATAGAATAGAAATAGAATGAAAATAGGAAAAAAATACTCAGTGTCTTCAATGGTGAAGTCAATCAGCCTAGAGTTCTTCCCATTAATCAATTTCTCCTGTGGGCAGTGAATCTCAATAACTCGATCAATCACATCTACAAAATAGTGGATTAGAGTATAAAATAATATTAACAGAAACGATTATTCAGAAAATTAAATAAAAAGATAGCAATTGATTACCAAAGAGGTGTTTCTCATCAAGGCCTTCATTAGACTTGATCTCCCTAAACGACTTGAGACGATACATTTTCATAGGAAATTTCGCATTCTTTAAATCATTTACCATAGTCTGATAGTTGAATTTTATCATGTACTTCTGTGGGCTGGTTTTGTATGAGTAGAAATTAGTGATCACACAAAAATTCTTTATAGCGTAAACTGAACCTTCAGAAAAATAGCTTAGGTACTTTTCCACATATTCTTTGGGTACATGAGCATGCAGGAAGGAACCCTGTGTATATGTAAATAACATAAATAGGAGCTTTATTTCTATATCTCATAAATAGCAACTGTAAAAAATAAAAAACCTGTGGACTAAACCCTAAACTGCACTGCATACTGTTGATGTATTTGAATATATATTTGTAAATAACACTTACCTCTTCATCATGAAAAACTATTTCTTTTGATCTAATCTTAGATGGATCACTTCTCTCAGGAATCTGATATGCTCGCACCACCCGTAGCCTAAGAGCTTGCCTGGTGTTCATTGGAGATATTTGGCTTGCAAGGATGAACATCTTGGTGTAGGGAAGAAGAAGGAGAGAGGCCGGTGTAAATTTTTCTGTGAAACAACTTTGTGTGTATATGTGCTGTATATATAAGGTCTGATGACCTTTCGTACTTTTCCCTTCAAAATTAATACCTAGAGAATATGTATGGGTTCGTGGGCTCAATGTTCCATATGGGGAAATATGTATGGGTTCGTGGGCGCAATGTTCCATATGGGGAACTGATGGGATTAAATACATTCTCTAATCCCATTGGATTGGAGAGTGATCTACCGTAGATATTTTAAAAAACCTAGGTTTCTATAAAGTTTAGGTATTACACTGCATAAACCCTTCGTTTTCCGACGCAAATACAATAAATATTTCGGCTTTGTCAAAACGACGCCGTTGCTGTTGGACGGGAGTTTTTTGCTCCTATTATTTTGCTTTAATATATATATATATATATATATATATATATATATATATATATATATATATATATATATATATATATATATATTACAGATACTAGTTATCACAATGTGCAATGCACCATTAATTCAATGTTCAATGCTCAAATTGCATGATTTATATATACATAATATCATATCAATAGAGTATGAGTACTATGTATTTTATATTTGATACAAAAATAGCAAACACTTCCCATTTACAGCATTATTCTCACTCATCCATAAGTAATCAGACATCTAACCTATGCTACCAAATGAAAAATATGATGAACCAAAACCATCCTTTTGGGTAAAAAAATAAATTCAGAAAAATTCCTAACAAAACCCGAATATGAACTACAAGACTTGAGATACGATACAGTTGACACCAGCATTAATTAGTTGCCCCGGTGCAACGAATTGATCAACCAACAAGGCAACATCCTATGATAAACCAAAATCATCCGTTTGGGTACTTCCTGAACATCATTTAGCAGCCGGAGCAGGAGCGGCACCGCCAGTTGTTGGCCTGCAAGATCATATCAACACCTCCCAGGGTTCAGTTACTGAATAAATTAAAGAACTTGATTATCCTATCCAATCCAAACGAACATGTGAAATGAAAGAAAGAACTTACAGTCCAACATAAACTTTGAAGGAATCATAGATGCCCCATTGAGCTCCTGTTAAGGTACCAATCATGAGTATACGCAGAGGAAGACCGCGAGTGCAGAGACCCCATAATCCCATCTTCTGAACGGCCTGTATGTAACAACCAGTGATATATAAGTTAAGAATCTATCTATAGTATAGATAGATTCTACGAAATAGAATGAATACTTACATCGCCCACAGATGCACCCTTGGCATTGTTGAGGAAAGAGACGAGGTTGTCAGCGGGGTGTGACACAATAGCACAGAGAATGCCAGCCAAATAACCACCCGCAAAGCTCACTCCCAGTTGCATTGTACTGCTGCATTGTTCTTTTGGAGTAGGGACCACATGTTTGTACAGGAGTTCGACGATGTTCTCAAATGATGCAAACTTCATCATTGTATCTGCAAACATCCAGGGGATCAAGATCATCACAAGGATAGCTAACACAACATAAAACTAAACTAGCTTAATAAGCTTTACGGAAACTAAAATGAAAAAGGCCAGGCAGCTCAATTCTATAAACTCGATCCAGCATTGCATTCTACAGATCGAGACCAGTACCATTTCAGGGTAAACTAATGTTCATTTTCCCGGCCTGGCCTTTCAAAGAAATTTTTAACAGAATAATACATTCCCACCTTCAAAGACATGCCTACCACCCATGATTTGTACATGTATGATCTATTAATTAAACAGATGAGAATGAAATCCTTGAATACTATCATTCTTGGGGATAAGGCCTTTTCGTTGCAAATGCATCAAACTATGACCACTGCACTTTCCTAACAAATCTAAAAGAAAGACTTGGGAATTGAATTGAAGGAAAATATAATTGCATTTCAGCTCCATTAACATTCTTAATGCACAAAACAACACCCCATTAATAAAGGTAGAAAATGCAAATTAAGCCCGCATGGGCAGCTCAACTGGTCACAAAGGTGAAATTTGTCACAAGAGACAAAGGACCTTCACAAACTGTCGAGGCGCCTGGGGTAGGCGGCTAGCCTCTGTTGATCAATTAAGTAACCATGAATTACCCTTTTGTAAAATGCAAATTACAAACTGTCGGGGAGCCTGGAGTAGGTGATTCCACCTTTTGTAACAAGAAAATGCAAATTAAAAGAAACAAAAACTTACATGGAATTTGTCGTCCCCATAGAGGACCAATCCCCTTGTAAAGCCTGCAGGCATAGGCAAGAATACACCACAGTATTATCATTAGCATTTAGATTAAGAACACATACCAACCAAAATCTAGGGTGGGGTGAAATGAATTGAAGATTCTAGTAGAGCAATAAAATAATACTGTGTTATGCAACCAACATAGACTAGCTAGACAGACATACCCAGCAACACCCTCAGCCCTGACGAATTTTGGAAGCCCGTCCGACAAGCCTCTGGCGAAACCAGGTTGAGTTTGGACTCGAACCTTAACCGCCTCAAAGGGACAGAGAGCAACATCAGCAATAACCTCGGCAGATGCAGAACCGGCGAGGTAGATCAGAGTCTTGTACTTTGCAGCATTCTCGGCTCCAGCAAGGTCTGAATAGTACTTCTTGAAGAATTCATAGAACCCATACTTGCAAGCTCCTTGGGCACTGTAACCAAGCAGGGTAGGTCCCCAACCCTTGAACAAACCCCTGACTCCCTGCTCCTTAAGCACCACTCCAAAACCAGAGGAAACGCTCTTGTACTTTGTAGGGTAAATCTGGAAAAATCAACAACATCAATCAATATAATGGTTTTAACATTCATAACAACAAAAGAAAGCATTCATTTGGAACAACCTTGTCAGTTCTCCTTAATTTTTCAGACATAAAGGACGATTAAAATTTTCTTCTAATTAGGGGTATGTCTATATAATTTGTGTCACATTTGGTCTTGCCATCGGTGCTCCTTCCAGGAGAAGGCAAATGCAGGGCTCCTTCTGGAAAGAACATTGATAACAGAACCAAATGTGATGCAAATTAAATATCATACACCTAATTAAAAATTTTAATAGTCAATAATTAAATATAATTTGTGTCACATTTGGTTTTGCCATCAGTGCTCCTTCCTGGAAAAGGCAAATGCAGAGAAGAAGCAAACGCAGTGCTCATTTCAGAAGAAGGAAAACAGTGCTCCTTCCAAAAGGAAAATTGATGACAGAACCAAATGTGATACAAATTAAATATCATACACCTAATTAGAAATTTTAATAGTCAATAACTAAATATGATTCATGTATAATAGTTGAATGATCAAAAGTGAAATTTATTCAATAATATTTTGTCTAGCTCAGGTACACAGGACAATATCAAATTATTTTCCAGATTATCAATTTATTAAATTTAGTTACGTGGATCCCTCACGATACACAAATCATTTCTGGGATCAGAGTAAATTCCTCAATTTTTGCAAAGAATTAAAAAAAAAAAAAAAAAAAAAAAAAAAAAAAAAAACTCAACTAATTTTACCTGCATGTTACACTTGACAACATCAAGAGGGGTGACGGCCGTGTGCGTGAGGCCGCAGCAGAGGGTTCCGCCGAAGGTGCAGGCGGCATAAAACGCCGGCGAGAACATCTCGATCTTCTTAGAGGGCTCCTTGGGCGCCGGGATCACGAAACCTTTCCGCTCCTCCACCGCCGGCGGCGGAACGGAAGTCGGAGATTGGTCCAAGCTGATGAGACTGGAAAACGCCGGGAAGGACGATGGAGAAGAATAGAGGAAGCCGGGGATCAGGGGCTTGGTGACGTGAGAGTTTTCTGGGAACGCCATACTTTATCGGAGCTTTGCAGTGTTGTTGGGAAAAAAAGGGCGGAGACGCGAAAATGGAAGTGGAGAAAACCAAACTAGAAAAGTTGGTTTTATGGAGGAGGTAGTCTCCGGGAAAGAGGGAGAGTCGAAGGTGTATGCGTTATTTTTGCGCGGAGGGACATACTTTATACTTATAAGCCAAAAATGGCTTGCTTTGATTTTCATTTATATTTAATTATTATTTATTATTATTATAGGGTTGAATTTTATTCATTGACTGCAGAAGAATTCTGAATTCGCACCTTCCATTCCTACATTGACCAATGATTTGCACGCAAGTTTACACTTTTATTTTATGACAAAAACATATGTTAGACCGTCAATACCATCTAAGGTTCTATGAGTATAGTAATTTTGTTATGTTTAGTCTTAAATTTTTAAATTGATTATTTGTGGTCCTTCAACTTTTAAATTTAACCGTTTGTAGTTTAAGTTAACCATTCATAGTTTTTCAAATTTTGAAATTTAACCAGTCGTGGTCCTCTTGAAAGAACCATGATTGGTTAAAATTTAATAATTGAAAGATCATGGATAGTTAACTTGGACCATGAATGGTTAAATTTGAAAGTTGAAGGAACACATATGGTCAATTTGAAAGTTTAGGACTAAATGTGACAAAATCAATATATTCGGAGGACTTCAAATGGTATTAAATCGTCTCACAAATTATTGTCCATGAAGCGAGTCGGGTCAAAATGAAATGTAATACTTATACTAGTAAAGATGTACTAAATCAAGAATAAAATATTTATTACTTATATGAGAAATGTAATACTCGTGAAGAAAAATATAATACTTTTACATTTTGATGTAAAAGTATTACATTTTTCATCAAAAGTATTACATTGTTCTTTATAAGTGCAACATTACTTATAAGGGGAAATATAATACTTTTGATGAAAAAAGTAATACTTTTACATCAAAATATAAAAATATTACTTTTTGAAAGTTACTGGCTCTATTACATTGTAGTATCTGTTCATATACTTTCTCAACGTACTGAAACACGAAGAACCAATAACGCCTCCACTGAGGCTCGAACTTATAATCTTCCAAATGGAAGTCCAACCCGGATACCATTGGACCACATAGTCCTGGTATTATGTTTCCCTGATAAGTAACAAACATTTTATTCATGATTTAGTACATCTTTACTACTATATACTTAAAATTGAACTTGTAACCTTGTGGTTATCAAATGAATAGCTTAATTGGGTTCTCGCAATCCCGCTACAACAACCATTTTTGTTCACATGTGATACTATACAGTAATTCTTACAGTCATTTGCTTATATGATTATTGTGCCTATAATTTTGATTGGAAAATAATTATTGATATGTTACGTTTTGAAAAAAGTCATTGCATGATATTTTACTTATTGCATGCTCTTAATTCTCATAATCATTTAAATCTTTCATAGACAACACTTTAAATACATTTATTCGATGTGCACTCTAAGTTATAATCCTCTGAGTATTGAATATTCTTATACTCCCATACTTATTATCATTTCTTAGAGCTAATTTTTAAAGTGTGAATATTTTAAATAGCTTGAAAAGTCTATTCACCTTCCCCTCTAAACTTTTACCATCTAATCGGGATCAACAGAACTATGCACTGATCCATCTATCTAATAGATTGTCGAGTCGGGATCATTTTTTTTTTGAATGCTACTGACTCTATTACAATGTAGTATCTGTTCATAACTACTTTCTCAACATTCTGAAACATAAAGAGCCAATAACGCCTCTACTGAGATGTAGAACTCACAACCTCCCATATGGAAGTCCAACCCGGGTGCCATCTAAGCACAAGGTGTTTGGCACTGGGCAAAAAATATAATTGAATTCAAATAATAAATAATTAGTCAGTTACGTTGATGTGGTTTTGTGTCGCCTATTTTGCTTATTAGTAATTCACTCGCGCGATGCACGGGAAAAAATTATGTTATTATAAATATAAATAAAAAATAGAAAAATTAAAATATTTTAAATTATTTAATATAATAATATTTTGAGCTTCCATTGGTCAAGTATTTATTATTTTTATAGAATACAAAATTACAATTAAAATTAAAATTTTGTATGGTTAATATAATCTCTAATTATGTGCATATTCAAATAAACTTATAGAGAGAATTTACATAACTACATTGATTTATTCTTAATTGTATTTCATCTATATTATAATTTTCACAATACAAATAATAACTTAGATAATTACATTTGGAAAGCAAATTTCAAATTTTGTATGAGTAAATTTAAATTCTAATTGAACACATTTTTTATATGATTATATAATATATAGCTATTTTATTTTTCAAATGTTGTGTTTTTTTTTATATCTACTATACTAATAAGAGCCCAAGAGAGTTAGGCCTATAATGGGTAGAAAAAATGGAGATCAAATTTTTTAATCAAATGAATAGCTCAGATTGATCAGATTTTAATTTTTTTTAAGATTAAGATTTCCTAATTTATCCTTAATGAATGTGATTTTCCGTTAACTTTTCCGTTAAATATTATCTTTTCCGTTAATTTATGTTAGTTTACCGTTAACTTACTCATTGATTTTAATAAGAATTTAAAAATCTTAGGTTCAAACATCATCCCAATCAAAGTTGGCATAATTAGTACTTTATTTTACTTTTATTAAATTAATTAAAAATAATAATTTAGTAGCTACAACAAAAAATAATACATATCATTTTTTTATTTAGAATTATGTGTCTACAATGCCTTTATTCAAAAAAATTATTCATTATCAATAAATTAAATAAGAGAAATAATTTCATTAGTTATATTGTATTTATTTTTCTCCAATATAAAAATTCTTTATATTCAAATTCATCAATTGATTATATTTGCTACATTGTCCCTACAATGTCTTTATTAAAAAAATAATTCATTATTAATAAATTAATTAAGAGAAATAATTTTATTAGTTATATTGTCTTTATATTTCTCCAATGTAAAAATTCTTTACATTCAAATTCATCAATTGATTATATTCACACATTGTCTATTACCTTTTTTTGTGCACTATTTTTTTTAATTAAATATCAAAGTTATAATACAAAATAATGCTATATATTTATTTACCAAGTATTTTATTAATACCATGAAAAAATTAAAAAAATATAATTAATAAAGCTAATCATATTAAATACTTGAAGGATTTGTTGACAAAGAGACTATTCAAATCACACAACAAATTGAAGTGAGAACAACTTCGCAATATCCTTGTTTGACAATCAGCAGTTAGCGGTTAGCGTTAGCGGATTATATTAGCGAATTTGACCAGCGAATTATATCAATGGTTGATAAAAAGATATTTGAAAAAATTAGCTGTTTAGATTAACATGTAAAATGACCTAAGGGTATGATATAATAATAATAATAATAATAATAATAATAATAATAATAATAATAATAATAATAATAATAATAATAATAATAATAATAATAATAATAATAATAATAATAATAATAGTAATAATAATAATTGTTTAAAAAAATTAAAAAATTAAAAAATATAATTAAGTCAATCATATTAACTACTTGGGAGATTTATTGACAAAAAGAGTATTCAAATCACACAACAAATTGAAGTGGGAAACTATCTCGCAATGTCCTTGTTTGGCAATCAGTAGTTAGCTCTTCAATATTAGTATATACGAAGTATTTAATAATTTATGCCCTAATTTTTATTTTCACTCCCTTATGTCCTGTATTTGGTTTCAACCATACCTATACAATTATTTTATTGACAACTATAATCAATCTTGACTATATTATCTTGCATTTGTAAACTTAGAATTGCCTATTTAAATACACAAATTTAACATTCAATTATCTATGCATGAACAATTCCAATATAATCTTGCATTGATATACTTTAAAATACTTATTTAAAAAAATATTGGGCATTATCTCAATCGCGCAATGCGCGTAAAAAACTAGTATATATAATAAAGGATGTTGTGACATTAATTGTAACATTAATTATTTCCCAAACCATATAGCTTTATTATAGTTAAGATGTGGATTCCATGTACATATATTCATGTTTAAATTTTTTTAAGACATAATAATTAATATTATCTGAGGTCCTCCGAGTATAAGGTCCTCCGAGTATAGTGATTTTGTCACATTTAGTCCTAAATTTTCAAATTGACCATCTGTGGTCCTTAAATTTTTAAATTTAACCATTCGTGATCCAAGTTACCACACATGGTCCTTTAACGATTAAATTTTAACCAACCATGGTCCTTTCAAGAGGACCACGACTGGTTCAATTTCAAAACTTGAAGGACCATGAGTGGTTAACTTAGACCATGAATGGTTAAAATTTGAAAATCGAATGACAACAAATGGTCAATTTAAAGTTTAAGACTAAACGTGACAAAATCACTATACTCGGAGGACCTCAGATTGTATTAACTCTAATTTTCTATGAAGATGGTCATTTATGCCTTTCTCTTTTAAAAATTTGTCAATTGTGTGGTTGTATTCGATTACGAACTAATTTGTGTATTTGATTGATTCAAACGCGTCTAGATGAATATTTAGTGTTGCATGTATGACTTTCTAATTTCACAGGTTAGGCGGCTAGATGCAAACTAAGCACAGTAGCACACCATTATTCAGTTGACTTTTCTATTCTTATGAGAAGTTTTTATTTATTTATTTTATACTTAGGTGATCGAAGGTTCACTAGATTAATTCTATACCTACAGAATTCTGTTTTTAAAGTCGTTACGTTTTTATATATTTTATTTATATTAAGGGATTGTTTAAAAGCCAAAAAAAAAAAAAAAAAAAAAAAACTTCCGAAAGTTTATTTCTTGAATTTGTTGTTACTTAATTATTCAAGGAAAATGGACTTAATAAAAACTCTCATTTCCTCTCTCAAAAAAAAAAAAAAAAGCTCTCATTTGACCAAAAGAAAAAAGATTCATTTTGGTGAAAAATATCTTCTTAAGATATTTACTTGAAAAATATATTTTAGATTCCTTTCTCATACTCTACTCTCTCTTTTCCTCTCCCTCTCCCTCCCCTCTCTCTCTCTCTCTCTCTAGTAGTATCAAATGAACAGGTCGACCCATTATATGTCCATTTACTATTGACATTGAACTAGGCTAACTCATCAGTTAAAATGTGAATTGGGTCAGATTGGGTAGAACAATAAAAATCTTGGTCTAAAGTTGTTTAGTTTATATCTCTGTTTTTCATTTTTCAAATTTCTAATTTTCAATTTTCTAGTTCTCTAGTTCTCTAGTTCTCCAGTTTTTCATTTTTATAATTTTCTGATTTTATTTTACAAACTTAATTTTAAGAGAAAAATAAATTAAATACACTAATTCTAAATATGTAAAAGGTAACAAAAGTTAATAAAAACATATTACTAAATAATTACAACTATGTTTGCTCAAAAAAATCATATTATTCCATAGTTTGAATACAAAACAAAATACACAAAACATCATTGATTACAATCCCCTCATATAGCATTTGCAATGTCTTCTTGGATCTCATGCATGACATGTTGTTAAGACATACCTAACTATATAGGTTCATTTCCACCACTACTTTCCCTACTGCTAGGCATTTCTATGTAGTGGCGGAGTAATAAGTGTCAATACAAGTTATGCCCTTGATTTGTGTCCCTTTTTTATATGCTAATAAATATATACATTTTGCTTTAATTGTTGTACATTTGATTTGTATTGGACAAAATCACCCTTACACCGTTATAACACCGTTAGTATTTAATATATCCACCAATCTTACCATACACCTACATCTATCATATCTTTTTTTATTTTAGTTATCATTTTATTAAAATTATTATATAACAATTAATTTAATTATAAATTATATTTTAATTAAATATTTATATGAATATTAAATTTTATATATATATATATATATATATATATATATATATATATATATATATATATATATATATATATATATATATTGTTTTGATCACTATATTCAAATATATGATAATTTAAAAGTATCATCACTTTAAGAACTTGTGAAACATAATTTTAACTAATTTTTTAAATTTTGTTACTTAACAATATTTTAATATTGGGCATAGGTTTTCGCGCATCGCGCGTACAAAATGCTAGTATATATATATATATATATATATATATATATATATATATATATATATATATATATATATATATATGTATGTATGTATGTATAAGTTCAATTTATGAATAAATGTCTTCATTATATGATTGTCCACCACACGTGCTCATCTTTAGAAAATGTTGTATTATTAGGAATATAACGGAATAATGTGAAAGCGAGTAATCAAAAATTGAGAATTATAGAAGTTAAATAATAGGGAAAATATATAAATGACATATAAAGACAATTGCTAATTTTGGAGATTATAATATATATATATATATATATATATATATATATATATATATATATATATATATATATATATATATATATATATATGTTATTAATCAGGTGAGGTTTAGGTGTTAGGTGTGCTTGTGAGGTCTGATCGACACCGTTAGATGACTAGCACCCACGGTCAGGATTGTGGTTGTGCAATCCCATCTTTTGTGGGATTCTTTCACTAATTTTGGGAAGGGAATATTTGCACCGGGGTATTCCCGGTATGACATCTTTCACATTTTTTTTATTTTTTTTTATTTTTTTTTATTTTTTTTGGAAAAAGGAAATGCATAGAACGGAAAAACTCAAGTCTTACATAGGGGATCCGAAAGTGACCCCCCAAACAAGAATGCTCTCTAACTCTATCTTATTCAAAGCTAGCTAAGTATATACAAAGGATGTGCATTATGTAAAAGCCAAGCAAGGCTCAAACTCATCAAAAATATGCTCTCCAAGAAGTTCCTAATTTAATCAAATATGCTCTTCAACATTTAATTGCAAAGATTCCCCAGTGGGCATTACTTCCCCTCATCCGTCCGTCATCAGTCCACTGTCGATGGTACAAACCCCCCCCCCCCCCCCCCCAATTCCGTCGTTCGTGTACCAGTACTTTTGATGGTTGGTGTGCGAATTCCGGCATCTAGGAACAACATTCGCCGGTGGTGTGGTGTATTCGACTTGCTGCAATGTTGGCCCTCAACCGTAAGCGGACTCAGGTCACCGGTACCGCCGGCGGATCTTCCGTCCCAGGTAAGTCATTTTCCCCTTAGGGTTTTGTCGTGTTTTGGAGCCTCAGCATGGGGCTCGCTGTATGTTAATATCTCGCATATGAAATAGGCATGAAGTTAGGTGTTACAATCTGGTGTTCGTGTGATTTTGTATGGTAGGGGCAATGTTTTAAGAGATTTGTGGTTCTGTTCTCTTAGTGTGGAGGTTGATTCGATACAAATCAATGTCATTATAAAAAAAAATGGCTACGTCTATTGCCCTGTTTTTAGATGTGAAAATTTGTGCAAATTGTTAACCATCAGTGCTATTAGCCTCCTAATGATGCGCGTCTTAAAAATTTAGTATTACTATAAGTTGGTTGTCGATTGGGGTGTGTTGTGATATGTATCACTGATCAGGGAAACCCGGTTTGTGGTTCTATGACAAAATCCTTCAAGGGGTTTGAATTTGGATTGTAGGGTTCCAGTTGTGGCTTGGGTTTTTTAAGTTTAATATTTATTTTTTGTTGTTAGGTTTTGTTGTGGGGTTATGTCTGTGCCACGTTGGAGGTTACAAGAATAATTTAATTGTGCCCAGGGGGTGGATAGCATGTGGTGTTGGCATAATGGATATTAGTTTTTATATTACATAGTTATGAACTTGATATGTTGTTAATAGATAGTTGTTTTCTTAACCTCCTGCTACACCCAGAACTGCCATAAATTCATACATTAACCCCCTTCAAAACCTGGATTTCTTATAGGTGGGCACTGTTTGATGGCTGATTGTTATAATAACCATCGGACCAACTTATTTGTTTGGATAGTGTGATGATTTGTATTTATTTAAAATTTGTGGCATTTTTTCCCAACTATTGTGCAGATATGTATATACATATATTTTTTTTTTGCTAAATTTAGGTGAATGTCACTCACATTTTATTTCATGCTATTTGTGATCGGTGATGCATTAGGGCAGCTCAATGATTTAAATGTAGAGTAATTTTTTGGTGGTGCAGTTCTTGTGTACAGAGTATAGGGTGTGTGAGTAATTCGACACTCGTGGTTATGAGGTGTAATTAGTGTCGGTGGTCATCACTTAGGCCACGTTTCTTTGCTTAACCCCCCCCCTCCCCCCCCCCCCCACACACACACAAATCATACTTTATTGTGTATATCGTTGCTGATTTTTACTGATGATGGTTAAATGTGTTCACGTTTCTGCGTTCTCGTGACTTCATTGTAGGGACTAAACGATTGTGCGACGGTGTTGCGGGGGATGAGTGCATCGTTACTCGCTCTGGTCGTAGTGTAGGAAAGATAACCAGGATTTCTGATGTTGAAGGCTGCCAACTGGCCGAGGGCACGACGGAAAACACTCCCGTCCCTGAACTTTCCCAGTAAGAAGAAATTAATTTCCCATCATTTAACACCCAATGCACACCCAAGGACCTTATCCGTGCTATGACCGAATTCAATGCACAGCAAAGACAGGCTGTTACCGACATGGGAATGGGCGTTATTTTGAGTCTGGAAGTTAATGAGATCCCATTGCGGCTAGGATGTTGGTTGGTCAGTGCGTTCAACCCTACCAATCTCACACTAAATGTCCAGCGCGAGATAGCTCTACAATTACAAGAGGAGATGTTGGTGCTGTTCTGGGGCTCCCATTAGGGTCAACAAAGATAGTATGTCGGCCTAGTCAGAAAGTGGGGAAGGAATTGAGGGATTGGCGAGCCAAAGTTGGAAAGCGAGACAGCACAATAACCTTGAAGAAGGTATGTCAGGTGATGCTAACCTGCGAGGATGGTGGTGTGTGGTTCAAGCGTCACTTCTGCGCGGCTATTGCTACTGTTTTGATTGAAAGCACCCAGAATGGCTACGCCAACCAGCAGTTTTTACACCAGCTTGAAGAAGTGGACAAGATATGGGACTTAGATTGGTGTGGGTACTTGCTTAAACGGTTAGTCAAAACCCACCGTGATTGGGCAGAAGACAAGATGCAACGTTTTACGGGGCCACTCCTATTCCTAGTGGTCTGAGATTTTTTTTCCAGTTTCCTTGTTTAATTAACAGACCTAAAACGAGCAGCTTTATGTAGATGATTCGTCATTTATAACTTTTTCGTTTGTTTTGATTTTGCAGTTGTTCTACGTGGACAAAGTAGCGTTGGGTCATCGGGTAATTGCTAGGAGCGTCACTGCCTTAATTGGATGGACTAGAAAGCTTTTGAAGGAGCGTGAGTCTGCTGAGATTCAAGCGGGGGGATTTGAGATTGGATTAGTGATCGAACCGTTGCGGGATGTTACCGGAGTAGAAGAGCATGGGGCTTTGGGCGGCAGTACAAAACAGGTCTGCAGTTTTAGTTGTTAAAACTGGGGTGGAGCGAGCATCGGTTTTTTTGCGGTGTGCCGTTGTACGGTCGCTGCTGTTTCTATCCGTAGAGCATATGGTTTATATTTGGGGGTTTTGTTGCTCATTATTGTCTAACCAATTTACCACAGATTTGTGTTT